AAATCCTGTTCTAAAAAAATCACTTGAAGTTTTCAAAAAAAGTTGGTGAAATCTGTCTCTTTCAGTTAGGACGGTTTCACAACACTAATAAATTCAGAGGTTAAGGTTGTTAGGCTATAGGCAAATATAGTGATTTAAGTCTGAGAGACTATTTATTCTGTCACACTAGAGAAAGGCTTAACGACCTTCCTTAAATATACACATTCTAGAAAGATGTTTTCAAACAAGTGACCTTTCAACAAAATTTTATCTCTTAGAAAATACCTAATTTGAGCAATGTGTAACCCCTAACAGAAGAATCTATGAGGCCGTCGATATAGTCTTGCAATTATTTACAGCGACATCCATGGTGTTTGACATCATGTAAACACATAAGCTAGGTAGAAAACAAATTACATGCAGTACCGCTCTCGAGTCCTCTCTCAAAAAGCATGCAGACACATAGCTGGAATTTACTGTTCGAAAGCTTCATGCACGTGTAGCGATGGATGTTTGAGGTCAATGATTTCAGACGACAATGTTTCAAGCATGAAAAATTCTGGAAATCATCAGAACGTATTTTTCTGTGACACCAAATGTGGTCACGTGGTTGCGTAGTTCAAGGGGAAATATAGTGTCAGCTGATCAAAGGTGCACTGGGGCTTTTGGACGTTTTTATGTCCTTGGATAATTTCACGTTTGATAATTAGGGTTCTTGTTTTAAAGAAGTATTCCATACGTCATCAGTTCAATTATGCATAGCAGTGGTTTCTTCAGCTTGTACTGCAATTCCATCTCCTTACCAAGTCTTGTAGTGGAGTAAGAAATCAATGGCTAAGCACCTGGGAAACTTTGCCCAATTTCCCAATATTTGGCGACATCAAATTCGCTTTTTTCCAATCTGAAGCTCAAATACAATTGCAGACTTTCAACAAGTTGTCCAAACACTCTTTATGAAGTCGTCACTGTCTTTTGCCTTTAGAGAAAGCAGCACGAAGCCATTTGGATACTGGGCGCGATGTTGCATGACTGTGGAGACAGCCATATTGTGCTTGGTCCATAGAGCGTGACAGTCGGCAGCGGCAACCAGGTGACGAATACGACTTTAGGACGGCAAATAATGTCATCATGCAGAGTTAAGAAATCGTCAAATTAATCGCCGATTTATACTCTGTGCGACACCGAACGCGACCAAGAAAGCGAATTTGATGTCGCCAAATATTGGGAAATTCGGCAGAGTTTCCCAACCTTTTGAAAATTTGCAAATGGGGAACTTGAGGTGACCAATTCGCATTTGCTCTCCCGTCGAGAAAAACTGAAGTGGGCTTTTGTAGTCAACGTTGATGTAAGTTTTTTCACAAATATTTGACGAACATTTTGAGACTTTCGTCTCTTGCGGGATTTGTTGACGAGCGAAAACTGTGGCCGTAGACTTACTTTTCGAGGAGTACTTTATGTAAATACCAAGTCTAGGTACACATCCCTTGACAATGGGCATGTCAACTAAGATACATAACTATAAGTTGCGGAAATGATATGTCGATACCAAAAATGTGACGTCAGATCAAATATTCGCATATGATGCAAGATATGGGGCGGAGAGTCCCTCCCCCGCCTTGGTGTTGGTCATTGTTTGATCGGAATCTCAGGAATTCTTTTCAGACTTCAAGGGGGGGATGAGTTAGGTAACAATAGTTTAGAGCGTGTATAGGGATTGTGTTGGTCATTGTTTGATCGGAATCTCAGGAATTCTTTACAGACTTTTAGGGTGTGTGTGTTAGGTAACAATAGTCTAGAGTGTGTATAGGGATTGGATATGGGGGGGGTACCCATCGGCCCCGTATCGTGCACGGTATCAATATTCGTGATGAGAGATTGCGAAAGTTAAACTCATTTCGTTGTGATATTTCGTGGCGTTAATTCGCTTCGCTTTCGAAGGTCGTGTTATGTATGTGGTTACACATAAGCCTCTATTGGTCATTCCCCAATGTACAACTTTCAACTCCCAAGAGTGCAGTAGCTTCCTTCAGTTGAGAAAAAAAAAGTCCCTATTGGGATTCATTCATAGTGAAAGAATTTCTCGAGAGATGAAGCGACGGGCGATGAGAAAACCACCGATATGGATTACTTTTCGCTATATGTTTTTTGTAAGTGATTTTTTCTGAATATGGACGAATCGCATTACCTCCTTGATCAAATTTCTTCTGGAATTTGAATCAACTATTTGTCAGAAGGTATGAAATGGTCCCAGGCAGTTGGCTTGGAAACATAAAGGTCCTTCCAGCTCTCTTGGCAAGGAAGGTATCTCACCTTACCAGCTTTTGAAGTCACACTAAAATGTCCATATGCTCAGTCGTTTCATTCTAGCACATTTCGTTTGGAGTCGTTTTGTGTCGATTGGCAATGGGTATTTTACATCTTAGTCAGGACAGAAGTAAAAAAAAAACCCGAAAAATATCAAGTTATGTTCGAAAATGATTGGATAACATGATACGCAAAGTTGTAATGCGAGCTGGATAAACTATCAACTTGCCCGGAAGGTTATTTTCGCGGTTGTAAATTAGTTAGCTCAGACTATCTCGATCTATCACGCCTTTAAGATTTGTTCAAAACAAATGATAAACCATCTTCATGAACAAAACTTACGAACATATAGAGGAATAAAGATGATAGTTTCGTACTCGGTAGCTGCAACTTAACTTACACACAGTAGAGAAAAGTCCTTAAAATAGTAGTCCTCCTCGTTATATTTTAGCATGATAAAAAGTTAATATTTGTTTGAGGTATAAATTAATCGCCTTGTTCGTGAATGGAATTTCTTACATGTTTGGAAGTTCAATCAGTTAAATCGTCCGATTAAGGTCACTGCATTTAACCAAAAGCACCTGCTGTAACTTGTAACCAATAGAGACGAAGGTAAAGTTCCTTTTAAGTAAGAATTTGGTCTTTTTTAGGAAAGGTGTATATTTCGTGGCTTGGTATAAACACTGAAACTGGTCACTAGCCGTAAGTCAGCCGCTATGAAGTATTTATCAACAGCGGGCACCAACTCCAAATATATCGCTTGACTGGTTCCCATTGCCTTTTATAGATCAGTTTTATTATTAATAAACGACGAGGACCAGCTCTAAATTGGCTGACTGGTTCTCCCTTTTGGGGGCCGGTGGCTGCAATTATTTAAAGGCAATAATTATTTTAACTGCACTTAAGGTAGTTGGTGCTTCAACTTAGAATTCATAAAGATTGGATCTGTTCAAATTTAGAGACTGGCGATTATGACAAGCATTATTTGCACCCCATTGAAGGACACCCTTCCAAAATGTTTTAATATGCGTCATACCGTCCCATTTATCAACAATAACGATCGAACCCTATATATATTCATTAATTTCAAACAATTTCCCGACACGAAATGCTGACCCAGCACAGCAGTTTTAATCAGAGAGGTAATCCCATGCTACTTGTATATCTTTTTTGAGATATAAAGTAGGCCCGTGGGGGGGGGCAAAAGTGGGAATTTCTTTATACAACCTTTTGTGGTCTTTCTCAGAGGTGGAGGTATATTTGGAGTCTTTTTACGAACTCTTAGAGGGAAAGACCATGAAAGGTCCTAAATCTTGCTTTCTTTTTATTATTTTTAACGTAAATAATACTGTCATCTTTTAGGGAGGAGACACGCCCCCCATCCGCTAATGCGCTGATATGCAGTATTTTTTTTATTAGTTCACCTATTACCTACTGTTTTTCACCTTGAATTAACGTCCTTGTGCAGAGAAAGTTGACGAGGCCTTGCCACTATATCCTCGAATAATTTTAATAATGATGGGAATTTAATTTGTTTAAGTGGCGTAAAAAGCCAACGATGTCATCAGGTTTGACAATTCAGCACGCAAATAGTGTCAAAATTAGTCTATACGAAGGAATTTGCCGTCAGCAAAATCTACCTGTTTGCTGTTACGATATCGAAAACTGGCATCATGTTTCTTACTCCGGCTGAAAGACGTGCGTCATCTGCAATTCAGATTTTTGGAGTGGACCAGAGGAAAATTTAGTACAGTAAAATCTGACAAAACCTCTTGACACAATCACATCAAGTGATGTCATAGGGCTTTTGCGACAGACATAGATGCAAGGTAAAATTAACACTGATATGGATGCCGGTATGCAATGGAATTTTAATGACCCTGTTCCAAGATGTTGTTCGACGATTGTAGTAAAATTCCTTCCGGTTTAAAGTAATCTCTATCACGTTATCTCCGTTTAGAGGAAAGTTTAAAACGCTGTCAGACTGGTACCCTTTTCTTTTCAATCATGAGAGTGACTTCTTACAATTCTTATGGACAGTCTGTGACAAGGATTCTGCAGTAGACAGTGTGTAGGAAGTCGACAGTAAACGACGGATTGACGGATGGATGAATGCATAACAAACGAAACTGTAATCCTGTATTGGCTTTTGACGTCAAGTTATGCGCTAGTAACACTTCATGAGAAGAAAGATGAATCATTAATTACTCCGGGTAAAAGTTTCCACCCCACAAAATAGACATAGTGTGATGACGAGATGTTAGTTATTACCACTATCGAGATTAAAGCAACTGGATGGTAAAGGTGTGAAAAACCGTAAATAGATCTTTTCTGAAGAAAAAAAAATTAGAATGGTTAAGACACAGCTGCCTGAAAGACATGTCCGTCTTGCAGTCTAATGAAGTCCGAAAACATTGCGTGTTGATGGAACACGCTTTTAGCAGGATTTCTTTGCCATGCGGCAGTCAATACTAATTGGTTTGCATGGAAAATTTCTAAGAACAGGCTTAGGTTAAAAGAAACTGATTTATTAACCAACTGTCATACTTTTCCAGAAAAAAAGACTACTGCTTTCCCTGAAAAATAAATTAGGCATGTTTTCCCTATGAGGCGCTGAATTAAACAAACGACTGAACACGCGCCCTCTTTAGTTTGAAATTTGTACAGCCCCTCAGACGCGTAAACTAGCGTAGTGACACACTACGCACACTGTAGTCGCTACTGCTGGTTAGTTGCTTTGGAGATCTCAACCTGGACTGCAGCGTTAGACCTAACTCTCCCCTCGCAGCTTTCGGAGGCGACTAGTTTCCTTGCCACATCATAGTTCATTCTGTTGCAACGCTGCGCACGTTCTGGCTCTGGGCGCCTCAGACCACGCCATCAATGAATTCAGTGGTAATGTAAATCATTTGAACTTTTCTTTTACAAGTTGGTCTAGAATTCAGGGATGTACTGCAGTCATACGAGTTCTTTAAAGGTTGCTGTTTTGCTTTGTCTAGTCTTTGAGACCTAACACTTAATTCTTCGTGGTGAGTTGCACATTTAAATTAAGCCACACAATGAACAACATTTTCTAGCCAAACACAAGCTGAGTAGAAACTGATGCTAGTTTTAAACTTCTCGTATCGGAGCGGTAATATATTACGTTCACTGCTCAGAAATCGGCAATATTCCCTTTTGCCATTTTACATTTTGTTGAGAATGTCTATACAGAAATTTACCTTTCCTTTATAACAAATTTTGCGTCATGACGTCAGTAGGGGATACGTCGATTTAAAATAAGGGAGATTCGGACAGTAGTTCGGGTATTGCTTGAAGTTCGGACAGTATATTGCATGAAAGGCTTAAATGCGGAAGAGTGGTGACCCCATGCATGTCTGTAGGATATCATAGAGGTTAGCCCATGTTAGCCCATGCCAATGATCTGCTTATTACCAGACAACCTCCCACATTTCCTACCTATTACACAGTATACGTGTATATTTCAGATCTCCGTTTATTATTTAAGGCGTCTCCATTAGGTTGGACTTTAAAATTTGAACAACTCGTACATATATTCCTCTTTAGCAATTGTCCACAGGTTGATTTGTGGAATATTAAATTATATTTTGATCGGCAACAGATTCAGTGGATAATTCTACAACCGTGCTGGTTAATTAACTTCTCACGGATGGTTTTTACTCTTTTTATTAGCAAAAGCTTGTTTGAGGGAAGTTCTTTTTCCTTCAGTTTAATTTCTGTGTTTTTATTTTAATTGGTTATTAGCAGATCTCAATCAAATCATACAGTGATATGTATACATTAAAAGGCATATAGAGAGACCACATACCTAGCTAGACCGATTTGAAGACCAATAACATTTGTATTTCTTAAAACATAGTTTGATCCCTAGTTTTTCGACTGAAACGTTTGTCATCTATTTAACACCTTTCGTGGGTCTCGATGTTACATCCCTTTCATTTTTTGAAGTAGTTTTTGTGTAAAAAAAATAATGACAAGAACGTGAAATGTGATGTATAAGCAAAGTCCGGCAGAGTACCGGCATAACGAGTAAGAATGGATGTTTGAAGGCTGTTTATTAGGATGGGGGACTGTGAAATAGTTCGTGTTTGATTCCATTCTCATCAACGGATCATACATACCACATGCAGAGATTCTTGAAAACTGCCACCTTTTCCGGTTACTTTCTGATGTCTGTTTTGTGGTAACATTTTTTAATGGGAGGGGGTCATATCATCTGCCGTCGCGGAAACTGTGATATTCAACGAGATTTTCCAGGTGTCGTTCAATTAGGCATATGCAGGTGCTCTCGTGACTTTGTATTCGTTAATAGAAGTGAAGCGTGTCAATTGAATCTTACACTAGCCTGCCACAACTCGACCCGGCAAGCTACGCATGCATGCATTTCAGTTATTAGCCTTTCAAGCATATATTACGAGAGGGGAGTAACATTCCGTGATCAATTTAAATCTTTTCTGAAAAAGAGGGACATTGATTTCCATGATTGAAAGCAATGTGAATCGCTAGTATGCCTGAATTGTGGTTTTTATGTGAACAGCAGCGCCTCTCCAAAGAATGGGAGACTGAAATGCCATTTTCAACTTTGTGAAGTCTAAACCCTCAAGGGGAGTCACAGAGTGCAACATGAGAATAAGTGTTCAGAGATGATTATCGACTATAGCATTATACTAATACCGGAGGAATAGAAGTGCTTCATTTATTTTCCTATAAGAGTTTTGTAAGCGTGAGACCGAGTTCACCATGTACATTAACGCCTATGGCCTACAGGTGCTGAACCACCAGAGAAGTATCGTTATACACAGTCTCCTGCGATAGTGTATGTCCCGTGGAGAATTAGGATTGATAACAAAACTAGACCAACCCACTGATCAGGGTTAATGATAAAAGATAGCTTGAATTCGATTTTCATTTTGTTGGACAGTGATACTGTCCTAGTTTTTCTAGGGAATGACATAATCCTCTGGTAATAATTTCTAATACCTGCCTCTCTATATAAGGGCACAATAGTACACTTGAACTTCAGTGTAGAACGAATTTACGATATGCACTGTACCAGCAAATGCTGTCATTGTCCCAGGAACGAGTATAAAAACAGAGGTCAATGAAACAATTTGATAAGCTGTGAAATTGCTGAATATCATGGTCATTCACGTTATTGTTAATTACTGCAGATTCAAACACCAGTTTAAGCTTTTTCGAAATATTTTTATTAATTCCTACTATGCCGATAAGCGTAGTAGTATGTCAGTTAAAAATGAGTCAAATTTAGGTTTTAAACTATAATTGCATGTCTGCAGGACAATCCTGAAGCTAGGATACAGCGTTTTTCTTGAGAGAAAAAATAACTTTAAATAGAATTCACAACTTTCCCGAAGACTAACCTGACTTGTAATAGTCTCATCCCACCATTCCAGGCGGACCCTTTGCATAAATGCGGCGTGGGTCACAATTACCTGAAATCATTCGAAATATCGTCATTACAGGTTGATTCCGTTTGAAATATTTATCGTAGCTTTTCCAGTGACTAATTAACCCTATAAAAGGGAAACGTCACACGGGGCAATTTGCCATGTACGAGCAATTACGGCCTTCATTATTCTGCCTTCTGCATACCTGGAACTGTACTTGCTACATACTGTACCAGAACCACATTCACAATTACTTGAATATTAAGACATCTGGATATCTATGGCTCATTTGCGATGATGCTTTTTAAGCATCACCCAAGTTAAGACACCCCCACGAGATCAATCAATGATGAATTAAGACGATGCGGTTTCCCTTCCCGTCGCCGACTGGTTGTATGATGTTAAGACATGTTCGTACAAAATTCAAGATGTCCTAAGTTTTCTCATTCTTTGACCTGTGTGAAGGCTAGTGTTACGTGTTGATGTATTCAAGACGGTAAATTACGAACTTACAGTCCCGAAGGAAGGTTACATGCGACACAAAGGCGGCCGCCACAAATACGAATTTGTGTCGCCACGTCAAACATTCGCTCTGGGAATTTGAAAAAGGTAAACGAGTTACATCTGTGACGGACTTTACCGCAAATGTTTTTGACTTCTAACTTGCTCCGCACTTAAGTATGCACTGGCCTTAAATGAGTTTCTGATTAGTTGTCTTATGTTAAGAAGATTATCGGCCCATCAAGAGCAAATAGTCTGGAGGCTTCGTCGGTCATTGTGAAGGACAGTTCATAGTGCCGAATTATTGATTTTTAGATATGAAAATTTCGAGGCCAGGCATTTCTGTTCCTCGCAGAATGTTCAAGGCAACATTTCTATTAAGCATCTGCAAGGATCGAAACGTCAGGATCTCTAACTTTTTATTTATATGTCCATGTTGCTGCAATCAGCATCAATCTGAAGCAGTTTTGTATTTTAAATTTCTGAAAATTAATAACTTATCTTTCCTAGGGGTTCGAAAACGTTCTACACTGATGTTCTGGGTAGGCCTACTATACCGTAAATCGGCTTTGTTTGTAAACAACACACAAAAAACACACATTGCTGTGGGGTTTACACCACGGACGTATATGAAAAACCTGGACTTGCAACGCCTTTGTATGAAAAAGAAGCAAACCAGCGGCCATTTTACCGAGCCGAATACAAAGGCGTGGGTTGGCTCCCTACTATTGACGTCAGGAAGAAAAAAGGCGGGCATTACCAGGAAAGCTTTGTATTTGGCTCGGTAAAATGGCCGCGAGTGGATTCAATGACTCTATAAGCTGATTAAGGGCATTGCGAGTCCAGATTTTATTATACACGTCCGTGGTTTACACCCTTTATAGATCACGTGATCTAGCGGACGCAATCGGTCTATATTTTGCACTTTGAATCTTTGCTACAGTTGTCAGTAGTATGCCGAAATACGAACACAGGCACCGTTTTCTATTTGTCATTTTAATTAATTATGTAAAATTGATAATAATAAGTAGAAAAGTTGTTCATGCTGTTGTTCTGTGTGAACTAGGAACACCAGTAATGTGCGTTTGTGGAGTTCTTTGGAATTATATATCACTTTCACTGCTCTTTGATATAGGCGTGTCCATTATTTTGAAATCAATTGATAACAGACGAGAGATGAAGTGTAGAAACAGAAAATATTGGTTAACATGTCACGTTAACAAGACATCGATGAATTTCAGTCTGGAACGGACCAATAAGTAATACAAATTAAAGGGAAATTTTCAACAGACAACTCTTTCACAGGGAGCCCGTGTATATTTCCTGTCCTAACCCAATTCCTGAGCCTAGAATATCTCTGGGTTTTTTCCGGTCTTCTACGTATCTGTAGAGACACAGGTCACAGTCATACGGCCTCTAACTTGCTCCGTCCCCCAAGGCAATGTCGACATGGGAGTTAATCTCGCATGGTCCTCACGGATACGATCCGCCTAGGGCAGGAAACGTGCCAAACAGGGGCACACAAGCATTTTTTCAAGAATGAAAATCTCGCTAATTCAATCGAAGTATTTGGATAATCGCAGCTAGAAATCCTACAGCGTTCTATTCATTCCTTGGGGTTGTTTTTACAATTCGAAGTAAAGGAGCCCCACGAAGACAAACGTCTTGATTTTGGTTTTCAGGAATTTGTATGAATTAATTTCATTCAAAACTAAATTAAATTCCAAAATTTCAAAACGGATTGCCGTCGTTCAATAACATCCTGGAATGTCTTTGTACTTTCCGCATTTACATATGCTTTAGTACGAACAAATAATTGTTTGCATTACAAATGGGCTCTAATCAGTACATGTACATTGTATTGATTGCTTTAAATAGGCCGCAGGTTTGCATTATCGCCCTGAAGTCTCCGCTTAATGAACCCTTTGTTGTCGTCAGAAATATTGTAGTCTGGGACCTGCGGTA